TAGGTATACAGTCAATATACATATATATATATCGACTATATATATATATAGTATATATATATAGTCGATATAGATAACTCCTCGAAAGCGTACTGACTGCCGGCACGAGAAAGCGTTTTTTTGCACAGTTCCCTCGCAGGTTTTTTTCGCCAGTGACACGTTCCTCCCGGCAGATGCTCTGGTTCCTGAATTATGTCAAATTTCACGTGTTCGTACGTGAGTGGCAAACTGATTGTTTTCTTCGTCTGCGGTTGCTCAAACACTGTCCTGGGTAAAACTCAGAAAATTTCAGAACCCCAGCTGCTCTGGTTGTGGGGTCACGTCAAATCTCATGTTTGTATAGGAGACGTACGTGAGTCGTGAAGAGATATGTAAGTCGTTTTTGCGTCCTTCTGGTCAAAGGCCACCGCTGATCATGCTTAGATGGTTCCGGTCCTCTGGCTGCTTCAATTCGGAAGCTAGAAAAACGCATGCTTGAAATTCACACATATTCGTGCGTAAGATGCAGAAGGGTTGGACAACTCAATTTACTTTCACGCTGCATAATTGTAGCTCTGTACAGCACATTAGTCAGCTTGAATCTGGAGTTAGCATGGTGCCATCACCGGAAGCGTTTTCTCGCTAAAAAGACCTTCACATGCCCGTACGTGAGAACCACGCGGAACCTGCACGTATGTGTAGATTACGTTACCATAGATGAAAACTCGAGATGAAAATTCGTTACAGACGCACACACATACGTACATACACAGATAACCTCTCGACAATATACGTCTCTGCGTTGCATAGCTGCAAAAAACACATTAAAACCTAGTAGAAAGCATACCTGCTGCCGGTACGAGGATACGTTTTTTGCACAATTACCCCTGCAGGTTCTTTTCGCCAGTGGTACGTTCTTCCTGGCAAATACTTCTAGCTAAAAGAATTGGGACTGGCCATCACGACTGTTAGAAATTATTACAATGACTCCCAATCGATACCCAGAAGATCCAGTGCTCTGGATGATTCGGTTGCAGGGTTACGTCAAATTTCACGCGTTCGTACGTGAGTGGCTACGTGAATGCTTTCTTCGCCCGCAGTTGCTCAGACACAGTGCTGGGCACGTGTAATTTGACGTAACTCTAATTTGACGTAACTCTGTACACGTGAAACGTGCGTGGCACGTGAAAGTGATATGTAAGTCGTTTTTGCGTGCACTTGGTCAAAGGTCACTGTCGGCTATGCTTAAAAAGTTCAGGTCCTCTGGCTGGTTCAATTCTAAAGTTACAAAAACGCGTGCGCGGAATTTTCACTTGTTCGTACGTGAGATGCAGAACAGCTGACAAGTAATTTACTTACATGGGCACAACAGTACGTGACAAGTAAAGCTGCAAAATTGCAGCTCCCTGCAGCTTATCGGTCAGCTTAAACCTGCAGTTGGCATGTTGCCAGTTTAAACTTGATGTGTGCATACGTGAGACCTGGGGGTGCGTGAAAGCTGAATTTGAAATCTTTGGATTAGGCGCGGTCAAGGAACAATTCTGTGAAGTTCCAGCCACCTGGCAAAGGCCGTTCTCGAAAACGCTTGCCCGCCAAAAAAACTTTCACGTGCCCCTGCGTGAGAACCACGTGGGCCTGAGCGTTCATTTTGAAGATACGAGCCCTCACGCATGTGTAGATTAAGACCCCTCGACAATATGCGTTTTTGCATTGCATAGCTGCAAAAAACCCATAAAAAACAGCATATCGGAAAACAACAGCATGAGTAACCTGTAAACAAATTTTGGCGCGACGTCCAGCGAGACGAGCAGAAGGAGGAAAATACTCCATATTTCGTCGTCGATCTTGATTTTGCAAAACTGGAAATCCACGTGAATGAATTTCCAACTCGCCACGCAGCGACAATAAGGTCTTGTTTAAGCTAGGGCATTGTCACTGATCGACCCCTTACCCTGGGTGATGGACCGCATTTCTTCATCAACCAGGATATGGGTCCGAGAGTGCCATAACCCGCGCACGTCCGTTGATGTCGTATCAGCACGGTGTTGGATGGAGGGAATAGGTGATGACCACAATTTTGCATCATCCACGGCATAGATCCGGGAATGCCATAGTCTGATCGCTAAGCGCAATTCTCGTCGTCACAATTCTTCACGGTTTCTCCATGCAATGAAGCCTGGGTGACGACTGCCGGCATTATGTAGATGGTTTGAAGCGCCCTGGCGAATGAAGCTGAATCTTCTTACAGTAGTTTTTACCTGCAGTTATCTGTAGATTTTATCTGAGTACCGTATGTTATCAGAGCGTTGGTGTAACAGGCAAGAGGAAAAATCTTCCTCTGATGTCGATGCGAGAAATGCATGGATATGAATACGACTGCAACATGTTGGCACCGGAGAAAGATGCCATTCCCGAATATACGTCTGGTGACCAGGGAGTAGACTCAGAAATGCCCCAGTCAGTGGACTTTCCGCCATTACGCAGTAATAGAAAACTTCGAGTTGGGGTAAATGTCACTGCCAAACATACTCTCGGTGATGTAAAAAACTTTCATCATCAACCGGGATGTATGTCTAGAAGTGCCATAAACCATACGTCGTTTGATGTTGTTCCGATGCGACATATGGCGATGGAACCATTGTGGACTTAGGACACAGAAAGTCTGGATTTGTATGGACATTAGCTTGAAGGAAATGGCACCCTCCTGAAGAGCTGAAGCAACGTCAGGGGAACGTACAGGAAATATGACAGGGGAATGTGACAAACGTCAGAGAATTTATGAAAGGAAAATCAATACAGAACGTGCGCAGTGCAACGTCGAAAGCCCCACGCAATGCTTCTACACAACCACATCCCCGGTGACAGTCAGTGACCTCACGTGGGGAGGATTTGGGGATTCTCGTGGAGAGGATTCTTCATCAACCAGCATACCGGTCCAGAAATACCGTAGCCGGTCCTCGTTCCTTGGTGTTGTCACAGCACAAAATGCTGTATGGAGAAGACGGGCCTGACGTAGGTTTAGCACGTAGGAAGT